CCCCCCCCCCCCCTCCCTGCCCCCCAGTGGTGGCCGGAGCATCAACGTCACAGGACAGGGCTTCAGCCTGATCCAGAAATTCGCCATGGTGGTCATAGCCGAGCCCCTGCAGTCCTGGAGGCGGCGGCGGGAGGCCGGACCCCTGCAGCCCGTGACGGTCAGTCGGTGCCCGCTGCTGGGGACACGCCAGGGCAGGATGCAGCCTGTGCCAAGTGGCCTAACGGTCCTGCCTCGGCTCTTAGGTCGTGGGCAGGGAGTACGTGTTCTGCAGTGACTCCAAGGTCGTGTTCTTGTCCCCGGCCGTCCCCGAGGAGCCCGAGGCCTACAACCTCACAGCGCTCATTCAGATGGATGGGCACCAAGCCCTGCTCAGGACTGAGGCTGGTGCCTTTGAGTACGTCGCCGACCCCACCTTCGAGAACTTCACAGGGGGCGTCAAGAAGCAGGTCAACAAGCTCATTCACGCGCGGGTGAGGACCGGTGCAGCCCCGGGGGTCAGGTCCTGAGCGGGTGCGTGTAGGGGAGCAGCCCAAGGTCTGGGCTGAGCTGGTCGGGGCATCCCTGAACCCCTCCTGGGCGCTGTGACCCTATCCCCCGCCCCCCAGGGCACCAATCTGAACAAGGCGATGACAATTCACGAGGCCGAGGCCTTCGTGGGTGCCGAGCGGTGCATCATGAAGACACTGACAGAGACCGATCTGTACTGTGAGCCCCCAGAGGTGCAGCCCCCTCCCAAGCGGCGGCAGAAGCGGGACACGACCCACAACCTGCCTGAGTTCATTGTGCGTGTAGGGTGGGGGCAGGGAGGGGACAGGGCACTGGGCTCTCGTGGTCTCGGCCACACACCTGTCCTTGCTGACTCCGCCTCTCCACGCAGGTGAAGTTTGGCTCCCGGGAGTGGGTGCTGGGCCGCGTGGAGTATGACACGCGTGTGAGTGACGTGCCGCTCAGCCTCATCCTGCCGCTCGTCATCGTGCCCATGGTGGCCGTCATCGCCGTGTCTGTCTACTGCTACTGGTGAGCCCCTCCCCCGGCAGCCTCAGCCCCTTGGCCACACCCACCGGCCAGCACAATCCCGGCCAGGTCCCAGGAGCTGCCCTGTGCCCCCAGGAGGAAGAGCCAACAGGCGGAGCGCGAGTACGAAAAGATCAAGTCGCAGCTGGAGGGCTTGGAGGAGAGCGTGCGTGACCGCTGCAAGAAGGAGTTCACAGGTCAGGCCGCCCCGCGGGTCCTGCGGGAGGACTCGGGAGAGGCTGCATTGGGACGGACGAGGGAGGGACGGGGCAGGGGGGCTGCCGGCGGGCGGATGCCTCACCACGACCTCCCTGCAGACCTGATGATTGAGATGGAGGACCAGACCAACGATGTGCACGAGGCAGGCATCCCCGTGCTGGACTACAAGACCTACACCGACCGCGTCTTCTTCCTGCCCTCCAAGGATGGCGACAAGGACGTGATGATCACGGGCAAGCTGGACATCCCCGAGTCACGGCGGCCCTTGGTGGAGCAGGCGCTCTATCAGTTCTCCAACCTGCTCAACAGCAAGTGCTTCCTCATCAACGTGAGCGGGGCGGGGCCTCTGGGGCGCGGGCTGGGGCCTGAGGGGCGGGGCCTCTGGGGCGCGGGCTGGGGCCGCGAGGGGCGGGGCTCTGACCGGCCTCCCCCACAGTTCATCCACACCTTGGAGAACCAGCGGGAGTTCTCGGCCCGTGCCAAGGTCTACTTTGCGTCGCTGCTGACGGTGGCGCTGCACGGGAAGCTGGAGTACTACACGGACATCATGCGCACGCTCTTC